CCGACATCAGGGATTCCATGACTAATAATTTGGGGGGGTGGGCAATTGCTGATTTGGAACAACATGAGAGTCAATGATGACAGAATTTTCTTTTTTGTGTGAACTGTCCCTTTAAATTAATATTTTTACAAAGCAAAAACACATCCATTTTAGTGACAGTGAAGACATTTTCCCCCCATTTTTAAATAAATGCTGTTCAGTTAAACTTTCTATTCAAGAACCTTGAATAAATGTATCATGGTTTCCACAAAAATATTAAGCACAGCAGTTTTCACCATTGATAAAAATAGGAAATGAGCAGCAAATCATCATATTAAAATGATTTCTGAAGGATCATGTGACACTGACAAGTAAAGTAATGAGGCTGAAAATTCAGCTTTGCCATTGCAAAAATAAAATACATTTCAAAATACATTAAGATAGAAAACAGTTACTTTAAATTGTAATAATAATAGTAACTGTAACTCACTAACCCCAAACCCCAAAAGTGTGTGTAAGTATACAAGTAATAAATCCTACATTTTTAATGGTTCTGATTTCCAGCTTCTACAATGATTTTAAATGAGATCAGAAGTGGAAAACTGCTCAATGCAAATATAGTAGGTACTTATGATCTGCTCTTCAAGAAACTATATACATAACCATAACATGCCTGTATGACACACTGACCCTCCTTACAACGCTTTCATCTTCAACAGCAGAAATCATTCCCATGAGATCCCCTGTGTTCTGCCTCACATGTCAATATGCATTTCCCTCCTTTATCACACTCATTATGCAATTTTTTTGTATAAAGTCATCATGCATCTTCGAGCTGTAAAGCCTGCTGCTGTTTTGCCCGAGGACAAGCCTGTTACAGATTCAAGGAGGATTGCTGATATGCTTGAATTATTTAGAATGGCGTTCAGGTAAATGCCCCTGACAGATAATATGAGAATGATGACCTGACATAATCTCAGACGCCTGTTGGCACGCAGCGTATCAGAGACACATCAGGCCTGACAGGTATTGATGATACCCAACTGGGATTTACAATACTCCATCTTCTGAATGGAGAGAAGCACCTGAAGAGCGTGCCCATTGAGAGCAGAGAACCAAAGATTGAAAGGAAAAAAAACTAAAGCATCGAAGGTTTGAGCTCCTGTCGAAAGCTGATGTCGACAGAATTGTAATGGCTGATGTTTGTGGAGGAGTGCTTAACTCAGGGGAAACTTTGTCTTCTTTTTTTGAAAAGAGAGAAAAAGTCGGAGGAACAAAACTGATGCTCTTCCCACTGAAAGGACATGGGAGAGACTTTTTAAGGCGTCAAAGTGCTTTGTCTCTCTCTCTAGAATCCAAATTCATGACCATGTCCGCCTCCCTGAAGCTTTTTTGTTTGGGGTTTTACCTGTAGCAAAGTTTCACAGAAATATGGCTTTTGCAGCTGTCATCTGATGAGGCGGGAGCTCATGCCAAAGTGTATTTTAATGTGTAAACAGTCAAAAAAACTCATTTTGGCCCATTTTACACGTGGTATTGAATATAAGTGTATATAAGCATAAATATAAGCTGAACATCTGTAAAAGTACAGTACCTTCTCAGGTTTGCCTAATATCACAAAGCAATGACAAAAATTAAGTGACACAAATGCAATGGGAGTTCGACTGGAATTATGAAATATTATGGTTGCGGTAAGATTACAATTGTCAAATCAAATTTTGATCAACAAGTGAAATGATTAATGGTCACATGAACAGACATTAAAACAAGAGAAATTAAACTATTTATAATAATATAGAAAACATTATTAAATCATGATTTTTTTATTTAGCCTAATAGATATTTAAATAAATAAATACTGGGAATAATAATAATAATAATTATTATTATTATTAAAGGTATTAGCTGCAATATAGTGGTGTATTGCTGGTCAAAATCAGCTTACTTTTGTAACAGCAAAAAGTCCAACAAAAAATTATATTTTGGTTTGTCTGATTTGCATTTAATAACAAAGATCATGTAATCATGGAAAGTGAGTGATTAATAAAAGATTAATAAAAGTTAATAAATAAAAGGTAAATTAAAAGATGGGAAAATTAAATAAAATATAATATATTATAGACATTAAAAAGGAGAAAAAAAAAGATAAATAACAATATAATTTATTATTAATATGATGATAATATTATTTAATTATTAATCATTTATTTATTTAATAAACATATTTGGTTAAATACAAAATATTGGGAATAACTACAGTGTTAAGGATTTACTATTTTTGCAATAATAATAATAATAATAATAAATTATTATTATTATTATTAGTAGTAGTAGTAGTAGTCCATTTTTTTGCTGTAATAATGAGGTATATTTGTGAACCAAATCAGATTATTTGTGCAACAGTAAAATATCCAATTAAATATTCTGATCTTGTGGTCACAAAGATCATGTTAAACACCATTCAATAGCAATTCAACAAAACATTTAAATTGTCATGTTTGCAGTATGTAACATTTTAAAATTTTAAAATGTAATATTATTAAGGAGCAATATAGTGGCGTGTTTGCGGCCCAAATCTAAACTGTATAATAATTGAACTGAACTATATATAAAAATCAGAGACACAATCACAAGGAGACGCATCTGAGATGTAAAACTGAAAACCGGTCCACTGAAGCTCTCTGAACACATCAAAAACACACAAGCCCATTCCACTCTCACATATCTAGAGATACAGTGTGTTATTATGACTTTACCCGACCCATCTGATACCATCTAACAGACGTCTGACTGATAACAGAGAGAAATATGGATGCGAACGCACAGACATATGTGTGTGAGATGGTTGGGGTTTAATGAAAAAGCACTCTGGTCTCGTTGGGTCAGACTTGTTTACCTCTTCTGACACAGAGTGGCACTTTCATCTGTCTTCTGCTCTAATTGGACGCTCTGCTTCGACTCTCATCTTTTAAGCACGGTAACCTTACAGACACACACACAAACTGTAATGCGTGTTTACCTCTCGCGCTCATAATGACAGCTATTTCTGCGGCTTCTCAGCTGTTTGCATCTGAAAGCTGGGTTCTCCTTCAGCACTTCCTGCAGCTAAACCTGTTGTACACAATCACACTCTTCAATGAGGATTCTGTCATCATTTGCTCTCCCGCATGCTGTTGCAACATTCAATTTCAGTCGCTTGTTACACAAAAGCTATTGTACATCTTCAGAAGACCTGCCATAAGTCATACGGACCACTTTTATGGCGTTTTTGCAAGCAGTATAATATTCAAAATAAATAATTCAAAATTTAGTTCCACTGAGCGTCATATGGGTTTGGAATGACATGAGGGTTAGTGATATATAGAACAAATTTTTTTTTATAAAAATATAAATTAAAAAATAAATCAATATTGAGGATGATTACAGCATTAATTATTATTATTATTAAATTCTTATTATTATTTAAGGTCTTAGCTGCAATACAGTGGTGTAATAATAATAATGACAATAATAATAACAATAATAATAATAGGAAATTATTACATTATTATTATTTTTATTACACCACTGTATTGCAGCTAATACCCTGGCCTAAATAATAATTATGATAATAATAAATAACAACAACAACAACAACAACAACAACAACAACAACAACAACAACAACAACAACAACAACAACAACAACAACAACAACAACAACAACAACAACAACAATAATAATTATTATTATTACTATTATTATTGTTTAGGCCAGGGTATTAGTTGCAATAAAGTGATATAACAACAACAACAATACTACTACTACTACTACTACTAATAATAAATATTGGGAATGATTACATTATTATTATTATTACAACATTATTATTACTGTTATTTATTATTATTATTATTATTATTATTGTTTAGGCCAGGGTATTAGTTGCAATAAAGTGGTATAACAACAACAACAATACTACTACTACTACCACTACTAATAATAATAAATATTGGGAATGATTACATTATTATTATTATTATTATTATTACAACATTATTATTACTGTTATTTATTATTATCATAATTATTATTTAGGGTATTAGCTACAATACCGTGGTGTAATAATAATAATAATAATAATAAAAATAATACACATTGGAGCTAATTACATTATTAGTATTAATATTATTACAGGAGGATTATTATTACAGTTATTTATTATTATCATAATTATTATTTATCCGCAATACAGTGGTGTAATTAAAAAATAAAATAATAATAATAATAATAATAACAATAATAAATATTGGGAATGAATACATTATTATTATTACAACATGATTATTATTACAGTTATTTATTATTATCATAATTATTATTTAGGGTATTAGCTGCAACATTGTGGTGTATTTCTGGCCCAAATCTGCTTATTGTTTTAACAGTAAAATATCCATTGAAATACATATTTTTTTGGTTTGCCTTCTTTGCATGCAATAACAAAGATCACGTGAATCACTTTTTGAATCATTTGAATCAAAGTGAATAATACAATCAGAAAAATGAAAGAATGTTACCATAAAAAGTTTTTTCAACTCATGTTTTGTTATTGTTCATGTTTTGTTATAGTAAGTATGCATTCATATTTGGGTTTTATTTTTATATTTTCAGTATTTTTAATTTTAGTCTAAGTTTTAGTAATTTTGGTATGCACTTTGCCATTTTTATTATTTTTTAGACTTTTATTTAGTTTTAGTTTTATTTCAGTTTTATCAGTTTTAGTATTTAAATTTAAACTAAAAAAAAAATAGAAATGCTGCCTTGGTAACCAACTGAAATCAGTTTTTCATCTAATATTTCTTATTTTATTTGTATTTTATTTATTTCAGCTTTATTTCAATTAACGCAAACAATTTTTAATAGTTTTAGATTTTGTTGTAGTTAATAACAACACTGCTTTTCTCCGAGATAGATATCAAATCTTTGAGAGCAGCATTATGAAGCTGTCATCAGACGGAGCGTCTACAGAGGTGAAGGATACTTCCCCGGCGGCCCCAATGCCACTCTGTAGTTGCTGTAGCTGTTGGTTGGGTGGAAGTTGAAGATGAAGATGACGTTGGCCCTCTCGAAGACGATCACCTTGTCTCCCTCGTGTTTGGCGCTGATGTAAGCCTACAGAGAGCGACGGAGATCAAAGACTGAGCACAGTGGGATTGCATGAGATTTGTGTGCTTTTAATCACACATGTTCTGTATCTCAGCCTCTGCATGTTTGATCTTTAGCGGTAACGCTGTGGTTCCCATCGGTACGGATATTGTTGAAAATCCCACAACTTTCTGTGCCCTATGCATGAACTCATTGCTAATCATCCCGACGTTATTAAACCTCTGTTCTTTAAGATGGATTTTGAGAAACGTCTTACAGGAAGTTTCTAACTGCCCTGAAGTTTCATAGTATGAAAGAAGTTTCATTTGGAAAAAAGAACAGATTAAATGGAAAAAAAAGATATTGAAGTAAAAATAAATAAATAAATAAAAATAAATAAATAAGAAATAAAAATAAAATGAGATACGATAAAAAAGAAAAAATAACAAATCAAACGTCCTACACAATAAAATATTTGAATAAATATTAAATGCAATAAAATAAATAAATAATGTTGATTAGTTCAACTGTGCGGAATAAATACTTCTGAGAAAACAATATTGGGAATTACTACATTCTTAAAAGCAAAAAGAACTTGTTAACAAAAATAAATAAATAAATAAATATAAATATTATTTAAAATAATCTAGATTCATAAATAAAAGTCTTAAAGGAAGTCTCTCACTGCACTAAAGGTTCATAGTATGCAATAAGTTTTATTTGGCTCAAATATGGATTAAATAAAATCTAAAAGACAATTCGGGAAGAGACAATAAAAATTGAGAAATAATAATAAATACAATTATTAGTATTACACAAAACCTTTATTTATCATGTATGCATTTCTTGTACATAATGTTAAAAATAAATAATAAAAAAATGAGTGCCAAATAAACAAAAAGACTGTCAAAAGATTTATGATTTGCATATATATCTCACACATAATCTAAATAAATAAATAAATAAAATTAGTGCAAATTTAATTTAGAAAAAAAAATTGGGATCAACTACAGTATATTCTTAAAAATAAATTATAAGAAAGTAAAAATAAACATTAAAGTATTTCTCTATTGTGATTAATTAAAAAAAAAAAATCATCTATGTTTTAGATGCAGTATATTTCAGAATTGGTGGCCAGCTTATTTTTTTGCAACTGTAAAATTTCTAATGAAATAAATATCAAGAAGCAAGAAGAATATTTCCAAAGGACCCATCCACTGAAGATATTTCTCCCTACAAAACACAGACCCTTCAAACTACTCAAACTCCAACTTTTGAAATGTGGGATTTTTTTTCTTCTTTTCTTTAATATCTAACTGAAATCCAGAGATGACACTCTTGGGGCAAAACTGCAGCTCACTGTCAGCAGCAGATGACTGCAGTGATTTAGCTGGTTTCCAGCAGAAAGACAAGTCTGTAACATGCCATTACCAGAGATTATCAATGTCACTCTGCCCCACTATTTTTAGTGGTCCAGACCCTCAACCAATTTGGGAACTGAAAAAGAAAGAGAGACAAGAAACGCTCCTACTGAACAGATAAGACATCCGGATGAAGGAGCCAGAATTCAGGATTCATCTGAAGAGTTGCATTCTTTTCTGTAGCTCTTATACTTGGCAGGGTTAGAAACCAACTTTTCTATTAAGGGGCAATAATTGCTCCCTAGAATTGATTTTGAGGGGCATATATTACAATTTTACCATTTATGAATTATTATGCTGTTTATGCTTTATAAAATCAAGACTTTACATTGGTTAATTTAAAATTGCTAATTTGCAGCATGAAAAACAAAACGGTTATTCAAAAAGCGAATAAATGATATAAAACGAGCAAAGATTATTAAACCATCAATGACCTCAGTCTAGCACGAATAGTACTACCAACAAAAAAAAAAAAAAAATGTCAGTGGCCTTTTCACACAGAACACATTTTTTTTCTATTTCACTGCGGGCAGTACTTTCCCATTGCTTTTCCATGTAAACAAATACACGCCACAGACGGACGTGTCTTTCGTGCGCAAAACGCCATTCCAAAAACATGGAGCTCAGGGCCCAAAACTAGTCCAATTGCATTTCGAGGAGGGTCCCCCAGTAAAAAACACATTCCGGGGGGTAAAATACACGTTTTTGGTGGGGTTCCCCTGGTAAAATTCACATACCAGGGGCTAAATAACACGCTAGTGGAGTCGCTTCAACCCACGGACATGAAAAACAACCTGCGGCAACAGTGTTAAAGGCTTAGTTCACCCAAAAATGAAAATTCTGTCAAATTCCGTCTGCAGCGGTGCACCACCGTTATGGAAAGAGTATCAGGATGCATGCACTTGCTTCTGGTTCATGTAAACAACGCGTTGTTTACATGAAGCAGAATCAATCGCATGCGTCCTGATGCTCTTTCCATAATGGTGGTGCACCGCTGCAGACGGGATGAGGAGGAGAAGAATTGTTGAATAAAGCCGTTATTTTTGTTTTCTTTGCGCACAAAGTATTCTCGTAGCTTCGTAAAATTACGGTTCAACTTCTGATGTCACATGGATTATTTTACCGATGTCCTTGCGACGTTTCTGGACCTGGGAACATTGCAGTTGTGTTGCTGTCTATGGAGGGTCTGAGAGCTCTCGGATTTAATCAAAAATATCTTAATTCGTGTTCAGAAGATGAATGAAGGTCTTACAGGTTTGGAACGACATGAGGGCGAGTCATTAATGACAGAATTTGCATTTTTGGGTGAAGCATCCCTTTATAGTAGCCAGACTTGGCAACACTGAGTACAGTCTTCAGTCAGTGAGCGAATTCGGTCGATGACTAATTGGAACGCTTCTGATTGGCCACTGCATTCATAAACTCAACAGAAATGTGCGTGATTGGTTAGAATGCTCAATGCTGCAAAAAAATACATACAAAGAAATGTGAAGCAAACTGAGATCGAAAATTTTATACCACAACCGACACTTTAAATTTCATTTTCACATTTCACTTTAAACAGGACAGTTGTAATATATTTGTTTGATTGTGCAGGGGCATTTTTTGCCCCCTTACCTTAAATTTGAGGGGCATTTTTGTTGCGTTGGTGGAATTTTTGCCCCCATGCCCAGTTATATCCCTTACACTTTATTATAGTAAACGTGTAGTAACCATGTTTTTTGGTGTATTGATTACCATTCGTATAACCACAGTTTTACTACAAATATGATTAAACTATGGTCAGTATAGCAAAACCATGTTTAATTTACCATGGTTTAACTATAGTAACCATGTTTTGTTTTGTTTTTTTAAACCATGGTTATTTTTCCTAAAGGTTCCAACCCTAATTAAGATCCATTTGAGCATGCTGTAAAGTATGTTTGTTAATAGCTAGGAAACAAACCTCAGTACTCAAGCAACCTTCAAATGTCTGTCTTTATCTGTGCCAATGTCTTCATTTGCTTTTAAAATGTGCAGCAAGCAACAGCTACAACTGTGTGTTAGTCCAGCCTCATATTTTTTTCCCTCATTCATCAAAACAGTCATAAGTACTGGTCAGTCCTAAAAATCACCCTTTCAATTTTTCATAACAGTTTAGTCAGTTGATTCAAGCACATAAATCTAGCCCAAAATATTCTTCTAGCACTTTACTTCACTTTAAATGCAAATATTTGGTATATTTAAGAACACACATCCCCTTTTAGTCATTTGTAGAATACGAGGATCGAAGGAAGGAATACATCCGATTCCAGCAGCCGTTCGTCATTCCGTGTAACCGTAACATGAGTCTTGCATTTTGGAGGAATTTACTGTAAATAGTCTAGATCTGAGGGGTTACATTTTCATCGACATGGCTGGCACAAAAGCAAATCCTTTGAAGTAGACATATAAGTGAGGAGGTGAGGCAATGCTCTTCATTGTCATGATATACTGGCGCCAAACTGCTGCACAGGAGATAATGTGTGTTATGGAGTGCTGGAACTATATCCCTTAGTGCACACACAAACAGCTTTAGTGTTTTAATAGAGATTCCCATCGTGCCTGGTTTCATTTCATAGCTAAAAGCATGCTTCCGAATAAGGTGATCTCAATGGAGAGACATGAGTGTCCTAAAAAGATTATGAATCACGGGGTAGGAAATTTGCAGATTCTGTGAAAATGGTTGGGAATGGTCTATATAAGAACATTTTTATGATACTGTAATGCTTTAGTTGTTTTAAGCAATATAATTTTAAGATATTTAATTAAGAAAATATTGACCAAACATCATCCACGACTAGAACTATCTGTTTATAATTTCTCATTCATTTTAATAATCCATTATAAACTATCCCTTATTAAGGATCTGAAAAAAGAAAAAAAAACACAAACAACTTTGTTGTTATATAGTCACTATATTTAATTAACTAATACTGTATTTTATGTGCCATTGTAGAAAATGTTATCAGTCAGAATGTACCCTAAACCCTTAAAAATGAAGTCAAACATTAATATATAATCAATAACAATTTTCTTGAAAACATTGTGCACATTTAGTGGTTGTGCAGCATAATTAAAATTTGCAGAGGGCTGTGTTTATTGTTTTTCATTTTAGTACTGCATTTAAATTAGGGGAATATGTACATTACAATTTAAAAGTTTTTGTTTTTTGAATAATCTTTTATTCATTAAGGATGCAGTAAATTGATCAAAAGTGACAGTAAATAGATTTATAATATTACAAAAGATTTATATTTTAAATTCTGGGAAAAAAGAGAATTATGAAAAAAAGTATTATGGTTTCTAAAAATAAAGTAAGCACCACAACTGGTTTAACTAATGTTTTTTTATTATTATTATTTTTTAATGTTTTCAACAACCAAGTGATTATATTTCTCATTAATTAAATATAATTCCACACGCGTGTCTCTGAACTCTGAGGATCACACATTGTGCGCGCTTCCCATTATAGATATAATAATAATAATAATAATAATAATAATAATAATAATAACATAAATAATAATAATAATAATAAATGTTTTTGACAAAAACAAAAGTGTTGCGTTTATAATTTTGTTCAGT